GAAAGTTTCATTTCTTTACACTATGTATCGGATATTTTCCAAAATATTGTGAACATTGACTCATATTTCCACTCCAGTAGGAAATGCGTTAATTTGACCTGAACTTGATTGACGAAATAAGCTCGTTGAAGCAATATGTTATTGATGAAAATACTGTCAAATCTGATGCTCATGTTGAGTATCGTAGAAACTACATAACTAATCACATGTGTTTAAATAAATTTCTATTCTGTATGGAGATGTTAAAGGGATTTCACTTTTAATGCAAATTATTTTCGTTTGAAGACAAACGATTATAAGGTTTAGCTCTAGCTGCAATTATGAGTGTTGTGGATTTAGTTCTTTCAGTGAGTTACTCCTTGATGGATGTAACAAGAACAAACTAAATGTGTAGTGCTCAAGAATATTTCTAGATGATAAAGGTGATTGTTAATATTCGAACGTTTTTGCTCCTACACTGATACACATTCAATGCCATATAATAAGTTTCCTCATAAAACATATAACACACAAGTCAACCAATTCCTGAGAAGTATATAATTTCATAAGTATAACCTCTGTCTCTTAGATACGTTCTTTGAAAACTGACAACTATCACGCAACAGGACATGGTTTTATACATAAATCAATTAAACCAGGTTATATATAGAAGTCAGGTTATTCAAAACAAAAGGCACTTATTCACATTCTTTCATGTAGACATTGATAGAATGACAACGCATATTAAACTATTATGGCAATAGTGAATCGAATCATCTTCCTAAGAATTATAAACAAATCCATAAAATAAATTGTTTTCCGAATCAAATGAATGGTTTATATGTTGTTTGCTATGTTATATGAGTATATCAATAAGATATACTAGTCATATTCAAACATCCATATATTAGACGATATAACTTAATATGTTTAGATTTATGCGCATAAATTATAGTCCAGTTTAAGATTTATGTGTGGTGTCTTTTTATAATATTATTGACTAACTAAACTCATCAAATAATAGTCTACTTGTAACAAAATATAGGTCTTCTTAGAATGCAGCTGAATCCCTAACGCTTCTAATCAATATATTATATTCGTATTATTAATTCTCACTCATTTATGCAAGTTATATTTTAAATGAACTGTTCTTGATTTACATACCTGTATTATTATGTATTTCTTAAGTCTATCATTTTTAGTAAGACGTCATATCCTCATTCTGATTCCAGTGAATGATGCGTGGGGGTACTCATGAAATATAAATCCTTTCTAACATCATGTGTATTCTCTGGCTAATGTTTGTTAGCGCTAACGCGATAAAATAAGTCGGACGCGTATATTTCACTCATTAATTCAGAAAGGAAGATGATAAGGAGATTATATTTTAAAAATAATAACAAGATGGACGCAAATTTAGAGGAATAATCAGGCTGATACAGAACGTAACGTAACACATAAAATGTAAAAACGTGGTTAAATTGTTTGAAAACATGTGGTCCATAGATTTTTGCGGGAGGACGCTTGTCACAAAGATTAGAATAACGTGAGACAGGAGTTTAGAACCAGTGGAAGTATGAATAGTCTCTAGGCGCAATGACAGTGCCGTTACCGCACAATTATATTAATTTACAACTGTGGAAAGGAAAATGTAAGCAGGGAACACAGAACAATAACGATAAAATTGCTGTGATAAAAGTCCCATAAATATATGTTGGGTTTCCTAATGACCTACTGAATTGGAAAGATAATTGTTGTGATATATATATATATATATATTAGACAACTCTATCCTCAGAAAATCGACCCATTGACCCCGATAAAATGCACATGATATTTGGGTCACTTCTGTCCCTTCATATCAATAATATTTAAACAGATCTAGGTAACCAGCGGCACTGTTTGTATAAAATATCTGAAGAACGGTTGTTTATTAAATATGTCCAATACAACCGATGATCAAAAACTTTTTTTCCAAATAGTTTCACCACTGAAACGGGATATATTCACAAGAGTTCTATAGGTGTACTCATCAACGCATCAAAAAAATGGAAGTGATTTGATTTCACAGAATAGCAGAAAACCATTCCAGTACCCAAGATTTAATAAAATAATCTATTCAGTGATTTAGCATGAGATATTTTTATTAATGATAAGAAATCACGAATCCCTTAACTAGGTATTTTCGGAAATTGGACTGGATCAGTAGATGTAAAAGATCGTTTATTTCGTATTTTGAAGACTTGGTTGTTTTATTCTCCACGTCCTAAAAGGGGTTTTGTTCAATCTTATTGCATCTGGATTTGCAGGCTACTCCATATCTATTCAAGAACTTAAAGGGAGATTACAGCTTTACTAGTTTTGAGATAAGCTAAATAGATTGTATAGGTTTACTAGTCACATACCTGACTTCTGAACTATTTATCATTGTTCACAAAAATACTACTCGATATGTTTGCGACGGCTTTAGAGTTAATTATGAATGTGTCATAATGCAAAAGGCAGGGGATATTTGCATTTTAAGATGCTCTTACGAATTGATTGAAAGAAATGTCTTGTACTCATTAATGGCTTTTAACCAAAGTTCCTATAATTTTACTCAAAATCATAGTTATTTGTGCACCTGTCATCTCACTCTTATATCTGATCCATTACGCTCGATAGCCCTATGCTTTTTAAGACATACAAACATATCTGAGAACCAGCCAGTTGTTTTGAAAAAATCTATCTAGTGCTTTCATAAGACCACAGCACAAGAAGAGATAGATGGAGACCGTAAAGGCACTTCTAGCGTTTATGATAATCCAAAATATATGAAGTAAGAAAACAGACATATACAAGTACAGTTTACATACGTGATAATATATGTAAGGGAGATGTATTTGCATACAAGGTCATACAAAGAACGTGACCAGATTAAAATGACACATTTAAAGATCAGATAGAATTAAGTTATATAGGGGTGTACTTAACACAGTTTACCCCCATACACCAAACAGTTCTTCATATTTGACAAGCACATATAATTTGTAAAAATGATAAACAACGAAATCGAAACCCTTTTGTGTGTAATTAAAGTTTAGTTGCTTCAAACAATAATTACAAAACAACATGAAAAAATAATTCATGTCAGCGATTCATGAAAGTGAGTAAATTAAAACATACCCATTGAATAAAACAAATGAGTCCAACACAATGTTTATCTAACATATATCTTGAGTACAGTTGAGCATTTAAATAACTATGTGATCATCGAGAATTCTTAAGACACAATTTGTTTAAGTTTTACAAAAATTAGCAGTACATTCAGCATTTATGTAAGAATAACAATACATTATTACAACATTCACTTAGGAGATAAAAGCAGTTAGGTACAATAAAAAAAACTGATCGAGCATAAATCAGAAGTAAGCCATCATCAAATCACATACGTAAGATAGCTAGAAGTAAATGGTTAACAAAATGAATGATATAACATTCAGATATACATATGTATTTGTAATTAGTGACTTGGAAATAAAATATAGAAACTCCTACCTGTATATTACAAATAATAACGATAATAGTAACTACCAGAAAAAGGTACTATCATATAAATGTCTATCATAACTGCAGATAACTACACGGAAGTATCGCGAAAATGGTGTGCTTTCCTCTATTATTCCCTAACTCAAAAAATTCCCCATAGTATATCTTATTTAATATTGAACAGTGTCATAACGAGGATTTAACTATTTTATCTAAGATTGTGTATTTCACAAAGATCTGTTGAATAGCAAGGTTAGTTATAAAATGCTTTTACCTATTTTATACTACTTGCAAGTAAGCTAAAGTTGTCGATTATAAGTATGAACCTGAGGTGTATGAACGTTAATTTTTCATAGAAATTTAACTGCTGCTCATTAGAGTAAAAATTTAATGCACTCACAACACTGTAGAATAAAACTAGATACTATAATTTTTTGACTTATTTTAGATATAAGTACTTACAGTAAGTTAATTAGTTTTCATATACGTTTCGATTAAAATGCAATCATATATTTACATAATAACGTTTAAGTAATATCAAATAATAATGATGAGATAGTCTTCACAAAGGTTGTATGACTATTTTGGATTATCACCATAATCAGTGTGTCGAACATAATGAAAACATGGATGTATTACATTTGACTGAGAATTTAAAGATTTGTAGTCTCGAAAACGATATACTACTTCTGTTTTTTTTTAATAGCAGACAGTAATTTTCTCTTTAAATAATAAGTCATGATTACATTTCTATATTATTTCCGATAAGTGATTTCATTAAAAATGTGACCAATTCATATCAATTAAATTTACCTAGTCTACAAACGTTCATGAGAAACTAGTTATTACGTCTGGGTTACACGAATTATATGAGCCCAATTCTAGAAACAGATTACAACACAATCATTATCAGTTTATACAATGCTACATTATAACCACAACCTTATAAACGCTTTCTTTTTTCTATGAAATAAAAGAATGTACATTATCAAAGGTGTTTAAAAAATGAACACTCCAAATAGTTAACACCGTTTTTTTGTAAAATTGAAAAAATCATCCACTATTTGGATAACAATGATCCCTAACTATTCATATCAATCAGTATTATAAAACATAACAGATCAGTAAAATAAACGTTTATTTTTAGATTAAAAAAAACGCGAAAAAAAACTTGCGTAACAAATTTTAAGCAAAATAATATAATAATAACAATGTGAGTTACTGGCAAGAAAAACCAAGAAGGGAACAAAAGATTATTTCTGATAAATTATAATACCTAGACAAATAAAGCGGTGAGTGAATATTACGTAAGACATTGTGATAAAGCAAGTCAATAATGTTTGGCGGGAAAGAAAATGCAAATGAAATATGATTTATTGTATTTCTATTTGTAATTTTTTTTAACAAATATTTGTGCAAAATTAAAAACAAAACAAAACAAACAAAAAAAGAGACTATGACGTGTAATGAAGGCACATTGGACAAAAATAATATTAAATAGCTTGTTTAACTTGTGGTAATTGAGCATTTCGTTTTCCTAAAATATTCATAAGATTTTTACTCATATAATATGGTCTTTCAGCAGATCCGTCATTCTTTTCTAAATCTTCCACTATACAAAAAATAATGAAATAAAATAAAATTGAGAAAATGCAATAATGATTATTTATTGATGAAACTAACAGAGTAACTTATTAGTTATAATTTAATTCTAATATTTCCACTAGATAAATAGATCGTAGATTTGAGTTTAAAATAATCTGTTCACATTGTGATATATCAAACGAACTTATTGTCAACAACCATTTTATCAAAGATGATGAAAATCCTAAGATTCTTGAAGTGACAAATATAATATATGCAACCACTTTGCATCTAATGATCGAACTAGATAATGACACAAGTTAATTTGAGAAAACATTTCTTTCTGAAGGATGAGAAGTGATTTCCAAAGCAATTTAACTGAATCTTGTAGATACAGGATAATGTGCTTTGAGTACTGCATATCAATGAGAAAAGTCCTAAACAACATACTAACGGAAGAGAGTTAGGAAGAAAATATTAACCCTAAAGCCATAAACGAGACAAAACGTAAAGTGAAAAACCAACAGCCAATATAGATGATAGCTCTGAAAAACTGAGACTCGACTTTGCACATCCGACTAGAAGGCTTCCACCATGGTGACGGATTATTTGTTTTATTTAGAAATGACAGAAGCAACCAGAAAATCTCTAAACAGAAAGAATCCAATCCCCCCTAGAATCAGTAGAAACACTTATGTTCCCCTGAATTAAGAGGAAATACATATCTCGTCAATACATTCGGCTAAAACAAAACAGTTACATGATGATTGAGATGTGATCTAGGAAATTGTGTGACAAAAAAGCAACTAAACAGATTGAAATGTTTAAAGAGAAATAACAAGGAGACCTGAAAAATAAAATGAATTCATTCTTTCTGAAGGCTTCTAGTCAGTTACGAACAGTTTGATACTACAAGTAGTAATATGATAATAAACAAAGTGTTAACATACTTTAGTTTACTTTATGTAAACGAAATAAAGTATGTTAAAACTGTAATTTAGGGCTCTTCGCAACTGATGAGAAGTACTGAAACACAATGAATTCAATTTATCCTGCCGATCACATTGTTCCTGCCTTGTTTAAGTTTATCAGGGGATTAAGTATAATACCAAAATTGGTTAAAAATATAAAGAATTATATTAAGTACTCATATAGTATGGATTTTCATCAGTTTTTTCATTGCTTTCCATATGTTTTACTGCACAGAAACAAGGAAATAATATTGGGAAAATATATTGCTGATAAGATTATTTATCAATGAAAATAGAAGTTTTATGTTATCGGTTTAGCTTTATGAATAACACACCAGTTAGAGTGAAATTGTATTACTTTGATGGAATTCACTAAGCAATGACTATTTACCAACTTGTCTAAGAAAACGTACATTGTCAAAAATTCAAAATATTATGCGAAAATATTACGCATTATTACGGTAGTTGTAGAGTCACCATACGAAAGTATTGGGTTAGAGGGGCTTATACAAGAATATTTGCAACGTAATTTTGAAAGACATTATTATGATACTAAATACTTGATATTGTTGTGAATATATAATGATAGACAGGAAACCAGTGAACTTGACTACACAATAACCAATTTATATTGACAAATGTCAACGTTTTTTCAACAACCGAAGATGAAAATCCATAAATTAACTAAATGAGAAATATCCTCGCCTATTTTAGTTTTTAAGGCCAAACTATATAATTACACTAATGAACTAAGGAATCATGTAACAAGATGCAACCAAACAATAATTAAGAATATAAAGAATGTTATTAAGTACTTACAAAAGCAAAGAAATATTGTATCGACACCCATTTCGAAAACACTTGCGAATAATGACGCCACAAGGTAAGATGCAAGTATGATAATCTAAAAATGTATAACAAAAAGAATGTGGAACACGTTTTACAGTAAACTAAATGAAATAAATAATATATCAAGATAAATAGTGTACATTACGTACGCGACATAACAATTTTCTTAAACTTAGGTCTATAATGTATTATAACTTCTTGGAACAAAAAGCAATGATTTATTATAGATTAAAGAATATGCTAGAAAGGATTTCGTAATCCCCCTAAACCACTCTGAACAACCTATTTTTAGTCAAAATACTGATTAAGTTTTTTTTATTTTATGATTACCTGCGTTACCTTCCTCTAAGCAATGAGGTAAAATATTTCTTCATCTCTTCTTTCCGAACTAATTTTTCAAATGTTTAGCCTTTCTCGCTATCACAGATGCTATTAATATATGAATGATCTTAATAGTAATCTTGTTCATTTCTTCAAGCTGTATTGATGTGGTATGACATCGTGAGCTAATACACATTTATGCTAGGCTCTAAATTGTCCATATGAGTGACTGACTGAACATGTATGAATACATCTTATTTTGCTTTAAAAAATGTCAAGTGGAGGTTTGTAGATCAGGTGGATGATTTTGGTAGACAAAGAGGATGCCCTCTTCATTTTCGCCTGAACGAACATCGATTTGCGGCCAAACGTCATGACATATCCTTGCTTATAACAATCCATGTAAACAACTGTGAACATACATTCGATTGGGAAAATATTGAGATCTTGAATACAGGTAATTCTAAAAACACCAGAGAATTTTTAGAAGCTTGGCACTTAGGCTAATCTACAATCAACAAGTACATTGAAATAGATTTAATTTATTAACCAATCATAATAATTATGGACAAATATACGACCGAAAATCAAACAAATGGGAGATATAATCAAAATAAAGGAGCAAACAATGATAGGTTGAATGTCAACAATAACCAATCAAGATGGACGTCTATAAACAGGCTGTGAGCCACACGCGGAGAAATTCGAATACTTCACTTCTACCTGAATTTCGTGATGTTGTTATTCAGAAAAACGATGGAAGCTCCACGACCAAACCATCTAGTTCAGAGAACATAACTCCGCCAAAATGTCAAGTATACAGCAACTTTGAAATTATTGTCTAAACTCAAATTCGAACAAGCAATACAACATACAACAAATGTACAAAATAACTCAGTGTTATGTATGAACTCATGAAAGAAAAGAATAATGAAAACATTCGTTATGTCATGATGAAAGAAATCTTGAACCGATTAAAAGATGAAATAAACATGCAATATTTAAAAGTACATCAAAAATAAGAAAGTGAAACTATAAACAAATACAATAATAAGATGTAACTTACACCCAATGGCACGAATGCATAATGAAGATTAGAAGTAAACGCGTCACTTAGAAAGTCATTCCCTTTGAACAATATACCTTCCAAATAGACATAAGCCATACCACCTGAATTCAAAAAAATTATGATCCATTTTAGATGGCAAACAACAGGAAAAAATAACTAGTAACACAAGGTGAAATATTAATAGTTGAAATGGTTACATACAATCTTAATGGTATTATTCTTCATATCCACCAGAGAATGAATGGATTAAATGAATTAGTTTAGACAACATTGTGAATTGATAGTAACCATTACTGTACAATGATACAAACCATGGTATGAAGTCTCAAATTTAGCATTTTATAAACTAACAATGAATACAACACAAAAAATTACTGTGTGAGATCCATGCATGATACGCGTAACATAGAAATTTTTAAATGAGACTTGACAGCATGCTAATACACAGAAGACATTATATAAAATTTTAAATTGTTACAGTAGAAATCACTTACGCTTAACGATGATAAACATTCGGGTGACCAAACAAGGCCACCACGAAGAATGAAATAAAGGTCAACTATAAAAATACAACAATTATTTTCAATAGAAATTTGTATAGTATTGTTATTGGTTAAGTTTTTAACAACTTGTTTCAACGGATCCCAAGGTTGACTTATTATAACCAGCTTAAGCAGTGAAATCGTTATTCGGTAAAGTCGGATTCAAGTATTAATGATCATTATGAATACTATTTATCTTTCATAACCAAACTAACCAATAACTGATTTCTGAAGGATATCAACAACAATTAATTCTTTCTTTTTAGAATATGTCAAATAGAAGTTATTTTTTTCCCGAACACATTCTCAAGAAATATACCAATCAGATTTATACCTTATCATTCTCGCATATTTATTAAGGATAGAACAAAACAGTTAGTCAAAATAACCCATTTTGTCATTTCGGTGAAGAAATTTTCTTCGGTGAATTCTTTTTACTTTTATTCAAAAAAGTTAGTATTATGTAAAATTGTCATTACAGACACCGCTTATACAAAACTGTACAGGAAATGTCCTTATTAAACCTTAAAATGAACCAATATTACAATGTTATAGTACATTAAAAAAATAACCCTACTCAAATATTATTTAGCCATGTTCGCATAAAATTCAAATATGTTCACTTACCAACAATACTGACAACAACAAGTTTTCCAATAAATAAAATAAAATCAGTCACTTTATCGACCACAAATAGTCTATGCATAGAAAAACAAGAGATAAAAAAACTATGTATGAGAGTCGTTATCAAACTGTTACAAAGAGAAAAAGCTATGAATGAAAAAAATGAAACAACTTCAGAATAAACAGTAAGTTTCCCTTGAAAATACTGCAGATGAGTTTTCAGCAGAAAAGATATATATATATATAAACAATAGGTCACCTAAGTTTTGCACACATCCAGTGCAAAAAAAATAAACGTCGAGAAAATTTTCTTCCCTGAGTTATCTTAATTCTTTTCCAATCATACAAGTAATCATTTGTGAAATCAGCCAATAAACTACGTTTCCCACTAACCAAATTGAGGATTGAATGGGTTTCAAACATGAGACATAATAATTGATTATTTTCACTTAGAAATTAATTTGTATTTAATGAGACAAGTAATCGATTAATACAAAGGTGTTTAGTAATAAAGCATACACTAGTTATTCCAATATGAGCGGCCAGGTTATTATTATAAGCATTATTCAATATCATATTTTTAATACAACATAGAAATGTCAGCACAAAGTATTTCAACAAGTTTCCGTCTCATACTTCTTGGTCGAACCTAACGATAAATATTGAGCAATCGCCAGTTAGAAGTTAGCAGTTTAGTAAATCGACATCTAAATAATGTACATTCTTTTCGCTGCATAATGCCAACAACCACGATATCTCTGATTGGATCTTTTGTAACTTGTACGATAAAAGGTTATACACCTTTCAGAAACTCACTTGAATAGGTTAGGCGATTAATAACCATAATAACGTATTAAAACAAACAAAATTACATAACTTGTTGAAATATCTACATGTCACGAACAGATAGTTTAGATGTTCAAGCTACTCAAAATAACTGAAGTTTAAAGTGATCTGTAACAATCTGTACACATTTCTCGATTTTTTCAATTACATATAACTATAGTTATGATATATAAATTACATTGATAAATATTTCATAGCCCCTATCCTACGTAGTCGATAATAAAACAGTGAACTTGAAAAAACATATCGTAAATACAGATTTCGGGAAAAAAATATTATTTAAAAAGCAGGAAACATTTACAATCTCTAACATTATTTTACAATTTACAAGAGATGGCTTTAAAAGATAATTTACAAAATGAAATAAATAAATAAATGTGATTGACACTAAATATAAACAAACGACAAAACAGTGAAATAGTAAAGATTCATTGAAAAAAAATGGTTTCTTTAAAACAAGAAAATAAAACTATATTGAACAGGTTTAAATAGCAAAACATGTGGATATACTGAACTTATATAGAATAATCTATTTTAAATAAACATTTCATGTACTATGTTCATAAACATGTACCTGACTACATTGCGCGCAAGTAAAGACAATGCTGAACGAGAGGCTGAACAAAAACTTTGACCATAGATAGCAATCTAAATGGGATTTTTAAAAATAAAGAAAAAAAATGTACTAAGATAAATATTATTTTCACTTCGAAAGTTTACTTTTGTATATTTTACAGTGAAGCATACCGATAATAATGATTTCTGTTTTACAGTTCATATGTATGCAAAGTATCTGTTTAGGGATAATTAAAGAAACTTGAAAATACAAAAAAAACTTATTATAAACCGATTTTCAATAACACCTATTGATTGTGACGTTAAGGAAAATTCATCCTCGAAATCAAATCTGAAAGCTTTTCTAGATTCTAGTAAACCAAACAAGAATGAACATTCAATTAATCGATATTCAATTCATAATCAATTCACAGTTGTTGTACATCCATAATAACGCAGTAGCAATTTCAACAAAGTATTGCATGAAAGCATAGAACAATCTATTATTTCTGATCAAACGACAAGCTACAGAATTATCTACAATATTGGATGTTAAATCGTTAATTAGATAGTTCTAGAAAAAACCCTATATACTGTCGGTAACTACTGAGTATAATATTATCTTAAGGTTTCAGTACAAAACATGAAATGTACGTCACTAACACTCATCAGTCACGTTTTAATATTTTGATCTCAATGAGTAGGAAGCTGAATCATTTAATTGTGTAACAAAAAGTTAAAAATGGACTCGAACAGTGCATTAAAAGTTATTTAGAATGTTTACATTGTATGCTAGAAAAAGGTATTCTAACGTGTACATACATGAAAGAAAATACACACAAACCATAAACTAACTATAGATTTTACAGGCCACAGTAATCATCAATGTAAGGATGAACTTATAAATCAAGAAAATGTTATGAACGGATAAAATGGTGAATTTCCTAGCTGGAAACGATTTTTCTGTGATTAAACTGATAAACAATATACACAACATGTAAACAAAACACAGAAAACCTATATTCCAATTTGCAATCCAACAACCTTTATTTATATTAAAAATGAATGATCACAACTGTTAATATCCAATACCAGTCAATGAATTTTGGCATCGCTAGTTTACTAAATATACTACAGTTAACTTCTTCCATTTTTGCAAAACATAATTAAACAATCATACGAAGGATTCTGCAGTAAAACTAACCCTGGTACGGCCGAGATTGGGGGAAGTCAGTTCTCTTCGAAATGCTCTCATATGGCCACGTGTATACAGCCATCATCAGGGTGGTCCGACTTACTGTCTTCTCGCGGCAGAGGTGTTGTTTGAGAAGTTGAGAGGACGAAAAACGAATATCCGGAACTTGAACTGGGTTAGTGGATCCACCTAGGGGAGTTGGGAAAACCCTGATTCAAACTAATGGTGCACATGGGCTCCAGAGTCCTAAAGAAACAAATGGAGTATGAACCAATTGTTGGTCACTGGCTATCATGTGACTGTATCTCCTTACGCTGCCCCACTGTCTTGTGGATTAAACCCTTAGGTCAAAGACTCGCAGTGTGGCCCCGAAGAAAACCACTTGCTTCAATTCGGGCACCCAAGCAGTATCCCAGCTCTCACATAAATCGAATGATTTATGTGGCGCATATGTGTTTGGTGCCTCCATGTACCATTGTTTATGTGTTGAAATAAATAAACTAACCCATATGTTTTAGATACAAAGTCGATTAAGAAGCTAAGATCAATGTATTTTCGAAATGTTTGACAACCTATCCATGTATATACATATTTGTGCTATAATCAAATAGGTCGATAAAAACAAAACATGATAATATAGTTCTTAATATGAACAGGTAGAACGAGGGTATAGAAAAACATATATGAAGTCGAGTTACCTAATTGAATTTATTTTGCAACCGCCTTCACAAGCAACTTTTAGTATCGTATCACACTCGTATACTATGGTCATCACAACGTTATCTTCTAAAATTTAGCCCTATGGTTCATGTTTAACATTTAAACTACTGACCGAATGTAGATTTTGCAAATTACATTTACACACTAAATTGTAAACTATGTATATGTTTGAAAAAAAAATCACTTCGAATAAATAATAAATAGATTGTAAATAACGCATAAACGTTTTCACAAGTTAAAATCGACATAGTTGACAGTGAATGAACAGGAAGAAAGACAAAAGCATCATTAATTATGTGAACATTAGAAAAGAGAATGTATATTAATGTGTTCATGATTTAAAATCATGAATAAGTACGGACGTAATATAATTGAAACTCATTGAACTACATTTCAAAAACACTTAGTGTATTACTAGAAAATAGAAACTTACCATAATAAAAGCATTTCTATTAAGAAATCTTAGAAATTTCTCAAGTAGCCAAAAACAACAACTTAAACATTTCAAGAGAAAATTTGTAACAGGATTATTAGCTTTCTTCAATTTTGCATTGATATATTCAAGTGTAACACGTAGCCATTGTAATAAAGCAATTAGAAACGATCCAAATGCTAATGAACCAGTATGATAAAAGGTTGATCGAAATAGACTTGTTATTAATGGACATTTTGATGAAGATTTTGATTATGAGACGAAAAGTAGTATTCAGCAAATGTTCCTGCTAAAGTCATTTGTGTTAAGGATTTGACAAAATTGATTAACCAAAAAAACATGAACAAATTGAAAAATTGTAGGTAGATAGTATATCTAAAATAGAAAAAAGAACAGCAAAAAAGTATAAATATATATGTGATTGTGTGAAGTAGAATTTAATTTATTAACTGTAGTTGTGATTTTAACACAGTAACTATTTATTATCCAAATAAATTAAAGGAGCATTGAAAAAGTTTAATATCAAAGACTATATATATCAGTTTGTATTAATATACTATGAGGGTGGCGAGAATCCGCTCTCCCCTTCGAAATGCTCTCACATGGCCACGCGTATACAGCTATCGCCATGGACGTTCGACGCTTAAACTGGGTTGGTGGAAACTGATGGTCCACCTAGGAGAATTGGGGAAACCTGATTCAAAACATGGTGTACATGGGCTCTAGGATCCTGAAGGAATAAATGGTATCTGAACCAATTGTTGGTCACCGGCTACCATGGGAGTGCATCTCCTTACGTTGCTCCACTACCTTGTGGATTGGACCTGTAGGTCAAAAGCTTGGGGAGTAGCCTGCTTGTACCAATGATTATGTGTTTAAATAAATAAATAAACTAGGTTTTATTTAAAGACAATGAATTTTATGACGATCATACAAAAAGGAGTTTCGTTGATTAGACAAATTTATTGCTTGATAGAAATCCCTTGGCATAATTGTATAGTCTCAATAGTCTAAATATAAAGTTAACTAACCGAGATATCAAGATCGAATCATTAATTCTTTGAATATTTCAATATATTGCAAAACATAAAACATCACGAAATGAACCACGAGAAGTATTACAAGTTAATTGTGTTTTAAAATTTCGATTGATGGAATTTCAATTAACTGTTTATCAGTAATGAAAATAATAGACATCCTGTGAGTGATTGACAATGGTAACGAGAGCAAAACGTGAAGGAATAGCATGGTGACTCGTCGTACACAAGACAGTAGGTGAATATCTGAGTTTACGATTAATGGTACTGTATCGCTAACTTAGATTATCATACAATAACTTACTTCCGGTCTCCATAATACAGAAAACGACAAGCTTTGCCAGCTGAATTATTTTGCTACAATAAGACGAATTGGTCGAAAAACAGAAAAAAAGTAATGTTTTTCATTGACATGTTATGGTAAAGAATACAAATAAATTTTTAATAACTATTAATTTATTAATAATAAATGTTGTAGTGAAGTGTTTCAAGTTGAACAAATACTCTAAAGCACATTCATAATTCTTATCTTAAGCCACTTGATTACCAGTATTGTACTTATCTTCTTATTGAATCGTGATATCTTAAGTCTCAGATCACGGCAAAAGATTAATAAAGTCTACTGCGGATAACAAGTACTGGACTATGGATAGATAAACAACGAAATGACATTCAACAGGCACACAGGACATTTGATTCATGTGCGGGCTTTCGGTGTACCATTTTTATTATTTGATGAGTGCCAAAATTTATCAAACACCGACGGTCAGTCGCACAAAATTACCATAAACTCAATCAAACAGGATCAACTACTGAATTACTAAGACGTATAAAACAATGAAGGGAACGATAATCTATTTCAATAATATTAGGTTGTGATAAATAAAATAAAGCGCACAAAAATTTTATCCTAATAAACTTAAATCTCATACTGTGACACACTAGTAGAAATCATTTTGAAGAATCTATGAATGAAACAAAAGAAAGCATGTATCACATTGCATATATAATTAATCTTACTAAAGGATCACATGGGATAAGTTGAAAAATTTCTCTTATATCATTTCTAGCCTTATCTCCAAATCCCGGAGTTACGGTAGGATCATCATTCATAATTTTAGTCCCAACAGGATCAGATATTGTTCGCAATGAAATAGCCACAAATAAAACTTGAGCAATAACAATCAATTCAAGAATGAACGGTAGTATTGGCCAAAACAATACAGATGTCATAGTTGAAACTGCTCTGAAAGAAATATGTCGGAAAAATCATAGACCATATTCATTTTATTATTTATCATAATTCTATATCTTTTTAAACTAAAAGGGGAAAAATGTGAAATTATATCTGTCAGTGGAAGTAGATAACAGAAACTTTAGCACAAGTAAACATACTTGCTTGCTTCGTTTAATATTGCAATAGCCACACGAATACGCTTGCGTAAAAATATTAATATCAGAAGTATGATCACCAGTAGAATAGCAAAAATAATTCCTACAAGTGAAAAAAGGTATTACTTATTAGTCAAAGAATATGAAAACGTTTGAATCATATCAACAACAACGCACCTGAAAACATCTCATTGAAATTAAGCGGACTAACTGATTCAACCTACAATTTACATCAAATCGAACCATCCTTAAAGGTAATTCGATTAGTTAGATGTTAGTGACTAATGAGTACTGACCAAATTTTCAAGATGCCTTGCAAACGGTGGTTAAAGTCCCTGACGGACTTAAGAAAACAAAAATAATAAACATTTATAAAATATATAACTAACCTAATGCAAGCCATGTCGATGCTAAACGGAAATACGAAGCAATATCCAAAGAGAATTCAAGGTCATTAGAACCCTCAGTTGTTTTACGTAGTACACTCCATCTGTAAAAACAAAACCCAGTGCCTAAAAGTAAAAAAAAATCAATGATTAAAACTAAAAAATGATAACTTTTCAATGATAGTTCGAGAAACTCCATGATTACAACGATATAATGAAAGAGAACAAAAAATGATCCACTAAAAGTACAATTTAAGATGAAACTAAATGAATATTTTGTGTAGTCAACTTTGAATTATTTGAAAAAGTTAGTAAAATAATGTGAATAGTTACATCTTAATGTTTACAAGTTAAATACTTTCAATAATAAGTTATATGAATGGGTAATTTTGTTTATATACATATAGCTGAAGTCATAGGAACTCGTACATATAACCCCAATTTATGTGTACAGAAGAAATTCGTAACCCCCTTATCCCTTCCATGGCCAGTTATAACTTAACTAACGATATATTTTAAAAATTATTATTACTATCTATTTATTTTATTCTATTTTTGTTACCATTAGCCTTATTTTCACATCTAGTATTTGTTTCTAATTTTTCACCTCTTGCCGTTTGTATTCTTCACTATCTAATTATTTACACACTTAATATTAAGTAATGATTTTAATGTTTTATGATGACTATTCCAAGTCTATTTACCACGTTTGACCTTCTATTTCCAACGTTTACCTATTGATAAGACTTTTGTTATTGTTTTATTATTCTTAGTACTATCAGTACACCTGTCTGCCTACTATCAACTTGTATTTTTACTTATTATGTGTAGTGACTTCTATTTCACTTTGATTATTGACCCATATTGCCTTGATTGGTTTAACATTTCCGTATATTAGAGTAAAGCCTGATGATGATCTAATTGAAAACAATTGTTCGCTTATATGTGTTGTTCTATATACAAAGGAGACCAATAATATCTAGAAAAGAATCTTGTAATGCTAATTACAAAAATCTGTTTCTTTTTTTTTTTGAACATATCGACTAAAATGTAAACACTGTATTAAAGAATATCTTGAAATTGATCAGTAATTTATTATAATAGTATCTTTATGAAAAATGATAATTGAAATTATTAAATATTTATGTTATACAATAGTTAAACTATTTATTTATTAATGAATAACTTGATAAAGATATAATTCTACAACAACAAAAATTAAAACTATTTGAATACCAAGAATATAGACATAAAATAAATGATAATATGCCATTATCATTTCACCGACAGAATCATGAGTCCATTTCGGAACTAGATAAATATTGTGCATAAGCAAATAATAATAATAATAATAATAATAATAGAGTGGGTATGCAAAGTATGAAATCGATATCACGAATTATTTATTTACCAGTAATAATACTATGAGGTATTGTGAAATCAATGGAAACAAAATTGATTGTACACACGTACATCGATCTAATTTCATGCTATATATATAATGTATAAATTGAATGAAAACGGCGATCATACGTCAAAATTACTATCGTGATAACTAACTAACTTATAAGAAACGAAGATGATGTTTAGGAATAAACACATGGCATACAGACTTTGATAAATACGAATTAATATGGGAATTTCCAAGTGATAACATTTTGAATCCACAAATTTGACAAAAACAAAGCAGAATGTACAGCCTTCAGTTGTTTACATACAAACAAAATCTTTTAACTGATCACATAATGATCATTATTTAACTAAACAATCGCTATTAAGAACGGACTAATTTATTTTGACATAGATAATTTTTTTCTAAGTTAAAAAGAGCAAACATGAAAATACTGTCTCTTTGTTATGAATAACAATAATTAGACAAAAGAGTATGACAAAAATTATTTATTTAAATCGAAGACAATAATTACCGAAAGAAAACAGGGCGACAATAGAATTAATGTAGTCCAGACCATAACTGATGCACAACATCGTAATAAAACGATCCAACAGAATGATAACACCACAGATACTGAAATACATCTGTAAATAAAATCATAAACATGATAAATAAAGTTTATTTAATATGTGAGAAATGTGTATGCAACGGAATCTTAAATTGCCAGAAAAACAAGAAAAATCATCAAAAACACACTAACAAAATAAATATTAACACGTAATTTTTTTCAAAAAAAAGCACATCGGAAACTGTGTTTAACATCGTAACTATAAAAGCCATTTAGTAATTCATATTCTATTGTTATAAACTATTACTCTCAAACTTAATGTACCTAACCTAATTAATCTATAGTCAGTTACATAAACGAATTATAAGATTTTTTGGCTTACGAGAACTGTACTTAAGAGTTACTTTTGCACAGAACTTATTTGGCGGATTTGATTGATTAAAATGGTATTAAACAGGAAACAATACAAAGCTCAGGTATTCTATAAAGAAAAGCAAGCCTTGAGAAGGATTTTAAGGAAGTAACTGAAATTTTTACTTATCTCAAATACTTAGTTTTATTAATAGGTTTGAAGGTGGTTGGTAAAAAACTTTAGATCGAGGTTTCGTGCCAAGGAGCACCTGTAATATTCAGGGAATAGATGCTACCTGTGGGATTTGAACTCGGATCATGGACACTCAAAGAAGTGGCCACTTCAACTTGATCGGAAGAATACGATCATCACCAAAGAACTGGACACGTATGATTCCGGTCACTACACAGCAATTAATTATAAACTTAGCTTAATGCCAAAGGTAGAAGAAACTCGGTTACAGATGGGGCAGAATCTCAAAACCACTTATTAGTGAGAAATAACGCATCATAAAAGGGTGAATAAAAGGTCGTAAAGCTAAACATTAAAAACTCTAGTGTTTTAAGTAAGAAAGGTGTGACGGAAATTCACAAGAAAACGGACGGTCTAGGGAAAATTCGCAACTAACGAATATTCTAATATGATCATGTTTAACGTAGGATTAATGAAATATACTAATATATTCAAAGTATGCATGGATTATCATATTTTGTTTCACTAATTATATGGCACGTTTCATCATTAAACATTAACTATTTCACTGATGATCGGTCATAAGAAACTTTAAAAAAAAGACTTTATATGCATAAATTATGCTACAAAAGCGTTTGATAATCTGAGTGTACTATATCAGTTGTTTAATTTTCTTTTAAAACAAAGTGCACATACCAGAAAGAAAAACCAATTCATACATACAAACACACAAAGTGCATCACAGTTTCATAATAATTATTTCATAATATAATTACACTAAGCACAAATGTAAATAGTTATCGAATATCATTTTAAAAAGTAAATGCCTTTTGGAAATATTTTAGTGGAGAAAATTTTCTTTGTGCCGATATCGTTTTCGTAAGCCGTACAATCGTTTGTGTAAGTTATTTTTATAGTAAGTAGTCTACTGTAAAATAGAGGAGTGTTAAAAAATTATCAACGATAGTCAAACGTATTCAAGTATCGGATGTAAAAGTCTATGAAGATGAAGTGGTGTTGGGTAGTAGTAGTATAATAATAAAGTAATCAAAAATTGTCAAAAGATATCAAGTATTAAATAAAATGAATCTATAAATGAATGTTATTTCACAGTAATTAAAGTCATTGAAAGTTGTCCAGGTACTGAATAAAATGGATGTTGTATCAGAGAAGTCGGAGTTGAAATTATAGATTGATATAGCTTTAGCTTTCTACAAATTGCTCATCAAAAACTTCTCTAGGCCAGTTCTTATAACTTTGTAGATGAACTTGGTGGTATATGATCATTGATTTGTGTAAGGGCTGTGGTACTGGCCGGGTGCCCACTGAGGTGGCTCAAAACTGCAGTTTACCCTTGACACTTCCCTGAATTAGTTTCTTACTAGGAAAAAGGATTCGGAGGTCCGATAAATCAGATATTTTTCTCGGGGATCTAAACATTCTGTTCTAAAGTATCTCCGCAGTCGTACCTCCCCCGAGTTCAATGTTCATCAATAAAATTTTCCCCGATACAGTGAGAGTACTTTCAATTTGACATTTTGGTTTCAGGCTACTATTAATGAGCCTGCTTCGGTTTGGGCACCCGGGCAGTATCACAGCCCTAACACATATCAAATGAGATTTGTGTGGCGCATATGTATTTGGTGCATCCTTGTACCAATATCTATGTGTTAAAATAAATAAATAATTAATTAATGAGCCTGGGCAGAAAACCACTCTCCAGAAGTGTTTGTCAGAATCTGTGCATACTCTTGAGGATAGAGAATGGATTAAATTTCCCTTCCTACTCAACGGCACCCAACCCTGGAAGTTCATATAATTCCTGTACCAGGTTGGCTTTCTGTATATCGATCGTAGTACGGGCTTCGTTTCAATAAAATATCAAAAAAAATGAATTTCTAACCTCAACTCTTGTAACATTTATTTAAGATCACTGATACCGTTACAGACGATAAAGGTATCATCCGCATATCCCTCAGAAAAATAAAATTTACTGATTATGTCTCTAAGATTATTGTTCTCCTGGTTGACTACAAAATTCTGTTCAAAGACCCAGCGAAGATCTCATTGTAACATCATTTGTCTGTAGAAATCGTCTTTAAATTTAAACTGCACGTTAGAAATTCAGGTAATTTGATATATTAATTACCATGAGTGAATAGATATTTATTTGACTACAGTAGACTCTAACATGAGTTTGGCCTCATGTTTAGAAAACAACTTACTATCTTATCTTATAATCTTATTTGAAGCTCAGCTGAATGTACCTGCATCCCGGAGTTGATGTTCAGTTTAGGGAATCAAACAGAGCACTTTTTGCTTCAAACGCCATCGCGTTATCCACATAGCTAATGAGTCCAGATAGCGACTCATATACTCGTATGAACCCTTACAGATTAAATTACTCCATCTTAATTTTTTACAAGGAAAAAATCCTTTCATTTCTACTGCATTATTATGAGAACAGTATCTTAATAAACAAAGTAGAACAATGATACCTAATTCATAATACTGCAATCAAACGAGTCATAATAATTTCTGGACAGAAAGCGATGAATAGGTCCACAAACTCGGAAAATCAATAACAAAAAATCTGTAAACAAATTGACAGGAACAAAAATAGGTGAGACCAAACACATGTGTTTCCCAGACTAACTTGTCAAATTTCCAGTCAACACAACAACGAGGAATCAACAAGAATAGATTTACTTATACTGAATGAACAATATAAAGAAACAGTTAAAAAGCAATCGAAATCGAAGGAAAAAATACCACATTCAAGATTTTGAAGAAAATGAAGGGATCCATATAGGCTACTACAACCGATATTACACCACTGCCTAAATTGGAGAAAGTTTGTAAATTACCACAAAAAGACTGTATTTTCTGACAAGGTAAGCTCAAAAAATAAATGACGTCAATGACTGATCCTAGGATCCAATCTAACTGTTCTTGGACTTCTCCTTAGTCATCAAAATGATCCTGAATTAGTGCCTATGTATGTGATACATGTAATAAGAGGTTTTGTGATACTTTCCAATACTACGGAACAGTCAATAAAGATCTAGTTAACATAAAGAAAAGCCTGAAAGTATCCGGATTCCTAAATTACCAGATAAATCATAAGAAAACCTACCCAAAAAAACTAGGAATTAAATCAAAACAGTGATGCTTACACTAATATAACATGCCAGGTTTGGCTTAGATCAGCAACAACTTTTTCAAAGAATGTAGTAAATTCCAACACCAATCTGAAAATAAACAAGAAATATTGGGAATACAGCCGAACAATAAAAAAACAGGATTTAGTCAATAACTAACTCAACATAAATCTATAGATCTAACACTCAGACAAAGGATATGTGCTTAAAGTTGTAGTGGAAATACTCTCTTTAATGTGAGACTGCATGCATAATCTTCTATCACGGGTTTCGTGATTACATACAAACACAATATATATTGAATCCGAACGTTCCTAACCGATTAAATTCAATTATAATTCACATTTTCTTTTCAAAAGAACTCCGTATGCAATCCATTTCGCAGTACGATAATTAACGAATATGTGAGCACATTAATAATCATAGGAAGTTAGATAGCACAACATAAATATTTCTAAAATGTAAGTATAACAATTGACTCTGAAAAGTATATCATGCATCACCAATGTTAGTATGCTATTTGAAAAAGATAATCCAGATGGGGAATACACGAAGTTGACACTTTTAGTTGTGAATACTAATAGTGACAGAATATAGCAGTTTGTTGTCTTGATTCTTAGATATTATTAGAAATAAGATAAATAGAGAAACAGACTTAGTAGCTCAAGTGACAAGTTATGTGAGAAAGATCAAAACTGTCGAGGGTAATCTCCAAACCAATTCAAATATAAGGATGAATAAATTTTAGTGGTCATTTCGCTATAAATTTACAATTATAAATATTGGATTATTAGCTTTCGTTGTAGTGGTTATTAAGAAATTAAAGGATAGCAATTTGTAGTGCGGTAATGTGCTTTTATTCAAACTTTAGTAGATCAAACGTTGTAGCTATAAACGAAAAATTTATTTACCACCGAAGAATGAAGACTCAGCGAGTTTTTTTAAAAATACTAGATATGGAATTGAAGGAAAGAAACTTGTACTCATAATCCGTGGATGAAATGTATAGTGACCACAGTTATTCAACTCATTTGATAAGAATAAGTAATAAAACAGAAAGGTGAAGTCCAAAAACTTTGCACATTTCCAAGTTTTTTTTTATTTTTCAAATGTAAAGAGTGATGAGATATTTCATCTTGTAAATTTTAAGTTTTTTTTGTATTTTTAACGGTAACCTTTAGCCTAATGTAGTAATAACTTACTGATTATTACTTAATTAATGCATATTTTATTATCGACCCTAGATATTGAAACATTAATATATGAACAAAGAATACTCTTTTTAACTAAATCTCTTCAGGTTCTGCAATCATAGATCCAAATTAATAATCCAAAACGTGGTCAGGTTAAAAGCAAAATATATTGTTTAAAAATCTTAACATGACTAGTAGTAGTATTAACTTGACTTAGCTTATATATTAAATAAAATAATAAGATTCATGATCAGAATAAGCCGGAACCATATTTATTCAGATCATTATTTATCTCACAATTTCATTAAATGTATCAACTAAATCAAGTCAACAATTTGTATTAGTTATCCTAACACTAACGATTTTAATTTATTTTACAATCCTTAATTCATATGCTATTATATTTAAACGATGGATTCTGCCTTGAACCCAGCCACTTTTTGGATTATTAATTTTGACATATAATTATAGAATGTAAAATCGTCCAGCAACATTAATGGGGGAATTTAACTTTATGCTATGCTTGTTTTATATATGATAATAAAGAACAGAAAATCCTTTCTTCAGCTTGACAGGTTCAATAATATCACGTATTACTTTTACGGAAGCATATTGTTTAGAAAAGCCATGTTATAACCCGATTTGTTACGCTGTACAAAGTAATACATGGAGATTGTTTTCGAGATACCAGTCCTAAAGTGAGTCTATAGTCTTTTACGACGACTTAAGCTTGTCCACATCAACTAGCGTCACTCCATTCAGTAAATATGTCCATTTTGAAATGCTCGCTTCCAAGGATTTCATTTTTACCGCACCACAACCACTTTGTTTTTGTGTATGCGGGCGCATTTTAAACTATTGTCTAATAATAATGATCAGTTGAATTTTATTTCCCTCTAAAATAAACAATTAACAAGTGCTTAAAACTCACTGATTTGATGTAATCAAATAGTGGCAAACGAGTTCAAAGAGAAATTTACAGTTTTAAAATCAACTTCTTGGACCATTTGGAGAATTTTGCAAGCTATTAGTAAAATTGGGATTTTCTGTAGCATGAAGAAACAATCTTAAGCTGGGTAAGATCTTACATAATCACCGAATAACAGGTTGGGAAAACACAAAGCAGTAGAAACACCAAAGGAACAAAGCTTTCTGGAGAAATAAACCAAAGAACAAACAAACTAAATGTCAAAATGATTAAGAGTATTCTTACTTTCCCAAATATTCATGGACATATAGAACCGGACTAAATTAGATAATAGGAACCTTTAGGGTAATTAGTTTGAATATATGTGACATACATAACTAGACAGAAAATAAAACACACTTATATTGGTTTCGGGATAAATACCACAAAAGTTGTCATCTCGACAGCTATATATATTCTCTTAATTCAACCAAGTATTGTTAACGGAACATATAATGGATTAAAACATGTTCTGTCCAGGAGCACACAGAGTGGCCTACTTCTACCAAATCGGAGCTAAACAAAATTGGAGAAGACTCTAGGATCTCCTCGTGTAACATTATATAAGTAGTAACGTTTTTCTTACTGTGATTCACTTCCATTCGACTTGGTTCATTTGAAAAATAATTACGTACCTGCCCAAACCTTGTTCTAATTTTGGGAACAAGTTGAGTGAGGAAGTGTCCGAAAAAACACTAAGCAAAAAGAGTAGCTGGATCTCATAAGGAAAGACTTGATAAATATACGACAGATTACACATTATGTTAGCAGTACTACATAGCAGATCGTCGAACAAAATGGAATGAACAACACAAAATACTGCATAAAATGATATTGGGTTACGTTGTCACACTCTTAAAGAGCACAGAAAAAGAAATGTTCAAGAATCAAGGAAAGTGGGAATAGTAACGATAGTTAATAGTAAATAATTTAACGTTTTTCTATCATTAAAGAGACGAGGTATTTTATATTGTAAATTACTTTCGTGAGTAATTTTTTTCGTTTTCAAGGTACTTTTAATGTGAATTAGTAATAACTTATTATGTCTAAATCAGAGCACATTTTATTACCAAAACTACACACATTAATGTAGGGTCATGATGCAAAGTTATTTCTTAGTTGGATTTACTCAGTACTATCATAAAGCTTAAAGGTGAATATTTTTAAGAAAAATATTCTCTAGAAAACAACAATCGATGAGAATGAATTTTAAAGTACGTTTCAGTTAACAAGAAATTCAATCTAATATTACTAGTATAGTATTTGCAGCTACTCATAGATAGCGTCTATAAAAGTCGTAACTAGTAAGTTACAATATTTACAAACTACAAATGAAATGGCATGTTCATTCTTTTCATAACTCAATTTAAACACTATGACATTCAACTTTAGAAATTTCACCAAGTGGAATTGATTTCAAACCTGTGACAAGGTTGTTAACAATCAATACCTTATATTAGTAACTCACAAACCCTCACCATAAGGAAAGAAGAGACATTGTGACACGCTAAATGTACAACACAATACAACGCATGTAGATGGTAGCAACAGATATATGCTATAAAAGACATAAACATCATGATACATTAATTTGAACGATTAGTGTTACCGCTTCTCGGTTATCCACGTTTTAGGATTGGCACAACATGCTGTTGTACACCATACCGCTTACAACCCACAAAGTCTGAGATTCTCGTTTATCATGGACATCATCACTATTTTTGACGAGACTACAATAAGAGCCACTAAAATAAGCGATGTTAAAATTTGCATATACAATAAATATTTCAGCAGGACAAAAGATTTTTTTCGAAAACAGTCAAATGAATTTGTTGTCAGATGAACAGTTCAAATTCACATTGACAGATATGACAAGTGTGAAATCGCTTCAGATATTTCCATATAACAATTATAAAGAGACTACAATGGTGATTAGAGTACAGACAGTTTGTATCCCGTACAGCGTTTAATTGATAAGTTTAGTGTCTAAAATAATAAAGATATGCTGAAGGTCATGTTTAAACAAAACAAAAAAACATTAATTCTTAATTTACTGAAAACTGAATCCTTATATAAATAGTGAGAAAATAGAACGTACATAAGTTACACCAGACATCAATATACAATTCTATACTAAACTGCGGCGCCGTATAATCGTACATTTTAGGTTCACCAATCATAAAATCAAAATACATTTATAGTGTGATAGGTTTAAATGGAGTTTTTGACGTAATTACACTTAGATAAAAGTGAAAATGATTTTGAGAAAGCCCAAACAACCTATTGGAAATCTACTTACTTTCGACTTTTCACTACTTCCATACCATTCACCTCTTGATTTTTGGAATTCATTAAAAGTATAGGTTTACCAGTTTCATCACGAACTTGACCAGTTCCATTTCCCATTAACCGAGATACTTGACTTGGGATGCACCGACCAAGCACTGTTATAGAATACAATCAAGTAATTTAGTAAATAAAAATTACACCAGAAAATGGTACATCTGGTAGAGATGAAGAAACATCAGAACTCAAAGTAGATAATTATAATAATACAGAAACAAAACGGTTGTATCATGCTCATGTTTAACCATTTCAAATTCCATGTTATAAAATAAAGATATAATTTTTAAAACTAACTTGATCTAGAATGATATACATATGGGGCACATTGTTTGTCCTGTACTAATTGATCAATACTCTAAAACAATACAATGTAAAACGTTATCAAATATATTTGTGAGGAATTAATTGACATGGATACACTGCACAATTATCGCTTAAGTCTGCAATCAACATATTTTATGACTAACAATATGAATAATAATAATAATACTTCATAGAGAAAATTCGACATTTACAAATTTCACATTTATATAAGGCACAGTTAAATTCCTAATTTTTGATACTGATTAGGATATTCTAAGATGTAATTATTAAACAGGTCACCATTTCCGAGCTAACAAATTTAAATCATATTGATTGTGGTCTAAAATATTTGAAAGCATTAGAATTTAAGTAATAAGTGATAAACTGTAGACCGATAAAAGTAAATACTGTCCAAAAACTATCAAGACTGCTACAAACGATGTTCAAATAGTTTATTTCGATTGATATAGATCAGAATATATAGACCAATGAAATTCTAATGGCATAAAGTCATTAATTTTATTTCATCTGATGCTTATAGGTTTATCAGTTATCAACTTAGTGGACGGTTTAAGTAACTTTTGAACTTTAATTTTAATTAAAACAGAATGAAGATCTTAGAAATTATGATTAAAATTCGTTACTAAATATATATATATATATATATATATATATATATATATATATATATATATATATATATTAACTAGACTTAAATACAGCTTTTGAAAGTAGACTTGATAAAACAAATTTGTTTGCTGAATTCCTTGTTTAATAAAGAATATTTATCAAAGAAAGAATGGAATAACTTACCTGGTTGGCAAATTTAGGATCATTCGCATCTACACCCCCTATACATATCATTAAACTCCTAACATATTGAAGTTTTTGATCAAAGGGACCTTTCCAAGACCAGTAATATTTTGGACACGATGCCACACAGACCTAGAAATATTAATGTAAATAAGAATGAGATATTTTTGTAGGTAATACAAACAAAACTTTGTTATCGTTAACTAACTATTCATGCCAAAATAAAGGTCGATCTCTGTAGCGGAATTTAGATTGGATTAAAGCATGTTTCGTGTAGGATTATGTTGGGCCACTCTGACTGGCTATTTTTTTAACAATCAGTGCTAGCAGAGACTCGGAGAAGTCTCTAGAATCTTCTTATGTAAAAACTATAAATATACTAACTTTTTTATTGTGATTCCTAATTCCGTATATAAGTATGTTCCTGTTCAACCGTATTCTGATTTGAGGACTTGTCGAGTGAAGTAATGTTCAAGAATACTAAGTAATAAGAGTAGCTGGGTCGTAAGAAAAGAATTTATGATGATCTCCATCGATTCTGATTATGATTCAGTTACTCACCGAATATCCTCTTTTTTGTGTCAACTTATAATTTAACAATCTTATGCCATACTTGTCACATGAGAGCTAGTGGTGCTTCTGGTTGTAATGTTAGTCACACATTGTTGTGGAGGACGATTTTAGTGATTGACGAGACGGATTTTCGATTGTCAAAATCAATGAATGAAACCTTAATTGATAAACGAATCCAATAACAAATTGTGGTTACTCAAGAGACAATAACGTTAACTGGAGCCCCCAACTAGTTAGAGATCGAATGTAAAACCGCTAGCCAAAAGAATATTCATTTTGTAACAAAGTAACATGCTTGTGTACACAATCTGAATACAAAATAAGCATGATAAGAGTCACAGGCGATGGGAGGTTAGTTGGTCGGTCACTCAATCGCCGATCAATTAAGACCCCACTGTTAGGTCAAATTATTGGATATCATATCACCCACCCACTGGTTGATTGGAAAATGAGTGCCAGCTGAATACAAAATCGTGAGCTTGATCCTGCCACTCAGTCAGTAACAACGCAGAACTTCGTAAGTACGTACATCAGTTCGAGTTGCCACAGAGATGCAGTTGCTGATTTAAATACCGTAGTGGTAGAGGTAATAAGAGTATAAGCAGTAATCGGGAAGATTAGTGTTTGGAGATGTTATTTAAAGAGTATAATACAGTGAAATAAATTTGGGAAGAGAAAAAAAAGAGACAAGGAGGAATAAGGAGATCAAAATTTGGGAGAACACAAAGAGTGGATGCACCTGCGCCATTGCAAACGATTTTGAGCCATGTCATTCAGGGTCTCTAACCATCGGTTGCTATCATCTCGCGGTCCCCAACCAGGTAGTCTACACCTACCAACATGACTCAGTTCACTTGTCAGTGACTTCATGGACTTGTGCCATGTTTTGGTCTGGCCGCCCCTAGCTTTCTTCCAACCTACTCCTATACCACTGAACATAGCACGTCGAGGCAGTCGGTGGTTGGGCATACGTAACACGTGTCCCAGCCATCTCAACTGATGAAGTTTCACTACGTCATCAATTGATTTGCCATCCTTACCTAGTACCCGTTTCCTAACAACTGTGTTACTTACTCGATGGTCCCATGATATACGAGCAATGTTTCGAAGACACCTATGATCAAATACTAGTAACCTACGAATATCCTCTACTCTTACCGGCCATGTTTCACTGCCATAAAGTAGGACGGAACGAACTGCTGCGCAGTAAACACGTCCTTTGGTTGATAGACGGATATCTCGCCTACGCCATAAATGACGCAAGTTGGCAAAAGCTAGTCGAGCCTTCTGTATCCGTGCTGAGATTTCGTCACACACAAACCACAAGGGCTGATGAGACTTCCAAGATAAGTGAAGCGGTCGACACACTCAACTACTTCACTCCCTATCACTAGTTCGGGTGTCGATGTAACCCAATCCTGAAGCAACATTTTGCATTTCGAGGGAGAGAATCGCATCCCGAACATGCTTGCATTGTTGCTTAGAGTGGTCAGAAGACTCTGCATTTTGTCAGCGTCTTCACCAAATAAAACTATGTCATCAGCATATTCTAAGTCAACAAGTGAACCTCCTGGTAGAAGTTCAACCCCTGGAAATTTAGATGAGGAGAGTGTTATCTCTAAAAGTACGTCGACAAAGTTGAACAAGAATGGGGAGAGTGGACAGCCCTGACGAACACCACTTGAGGTAATCAATTCTGATGACAGTTCGCCATAAGCTCTCACTCGACCAGTTGTGTTCGAGTAGAGAGCCTTTATAAGGTTAATGTACTTCTTTGGTACTCCTTTCAGTGACAAACACTGCCATAGAACCTCACGATCAACAGAGTCGAATGCCGCCTTAAGGTCGAGAAATACTACCATTGTGGGGCGTCTGTGTTCTAGAACCTGACGTAGTGTGAATATCTGATCTATACAACCACGTCCAGGTCGAAAACCAGCCTGGTTTTCTCTAGTCTGCTCTTCACGAGCTTTAGTTAGGCGTCGAAGTATTATTGAAGCTAATATTTTAGACACTATATTAGTCAAACTGATTCCTCTGTGATTGTCACAAGAGGACTTTTGTCCTTTCTTAAGACTGGCACAATCAGTGATTGAGACCAGTCAGATGGGATTACGTCCAGTTCCCAAATTCTACCTAAGACCTCAGTTAATCTCATTGCTAATACTGGACCACCATCCTTAAAAATCTCAGGAGTAAACCTGTCAGGGCCTGCTGCTCTCCCTCGTTTCAGATTTCCTATGGCTTTTTCAACTTCGTAAAGGGACGGAGGACCTACATTAACTTGCCATTCAGGTTGACTGGAGATCGTGGGAAACCGAAGTGTGGCTGAAGGCCAGTTGAACTGATCCCTAAAGTGTTCTGCCCATCGATCCAATCTCCTGGATTGAGAATGAATAATATGTCCATCTTTCTCTGAGATTGTTTCGCTAACGGTCGGGTTCCTAATTCCGGTTTCCTTAACGAGTCTGAACAATTGTCTGCTATTACCTATTGCCGCTGCCTTTTCCATCTCTCTTGCTTTCGCTACCCACCACTGTTCGCGATCATTGCGTAGACTTCTTGTCAGCTTGCGCTTAAGCTGACTCCGCTCTTCATTATGTTCAGAGCCAGGTGGAATGAGTTTCCGAGCATCTATCAGTGCGATAGATGCTGCTGAGATCCAGTGTTGCTCCCTAACCTTCTGGTTTACCTTACTAGCAGATATCACTGCTGTTTCCACAGCTTTTCGGATATCATTCCATGCTGCATCGGGGTGGGCATCACATACATGGCTGCCTAACTGTTTTCCTAGTTGTTCCTGAAATATACTCTTAGCTTGACTATCATTAAGTAGGCCCTAAGAGGTTTCCTTGCAGCGTCTTTCCTACGTCCAGTAAGACGCAAGCAAATACGCGCTCGCACTAGAGCATGATCTGAATCTAGGCATGTGCTCCAGAATGAGCGACAGTCTTCTATCGAGCCCCTCCATCGGTGGCTGATAGCGATGTGATCTATTTGGGTCCAACGTTGGGACGAATTAGGGGGTCGCCATGTTAAAAGATGTTTTTCCTTATGCTTAAAGTTAGTATTTGCAAGGAACAGGCGGTTATCTGAGCATAGCTGCAACAGACGGTCGCCATTATCTGTTCTTTGAGCCACGACACCATAAGATCCACCTAGGTGTCTTTCCCTATCGCTTAGTTTACCTACTTGAGCATTAAAGTCACCGGCCACTATTACTACATCCGAGCGCTAGCTTTTCGGAGAAGGTCCGAAAGCTTTCTGTAAAACTCATCTTTTACATCATCTGAGCTGCAGTCAGTGGGAGAATAGGCAGAGACGACGAAGAGGCAACGACGAGTGTCCCTATCTTTCCGGATTCTTACTGTTCCGTTCAGTCGGACAGCGCACAAACGACTGTCTACTGGGATCCACTCTAAGAGAGCTAGTTCTGCCCTAGGACTCAATGCTATACCTACGCCGGCGAGGCCACGGGAAGCAGAATCAGGGCTTCCAGATACACGAAGCGTAAATCGAGTCGGTTCTTTATTTTGGCATGGTGAGGTCAAATGAATGACGCTACTCGGATCCTGTATGCGCGTTTCGGAGACGCAGCACACATCGATGGCGCGAGATTCTAAAGTTTAGCTAAGGAAGCCTGTTGTCCTATTTGGCAGTGTTCGTACGTTAAAAGCTCCTACGTGTAGTTTAGAGCGTGGTTTCAGGAGACTAGGAATAGCGTTCCGCGTATGAGGTTGCGGGTAAGCAATGTCGAAACTAGTGCTTCTAACTTCGAATGGTTCTGAAAATGATGTTAGTCTGTTACGATAACTAAATTTGTACGAAACATGTTCACCAGAACGATCTCAAGGTATAAGCTTTAACTCGGAATACAGTGAGTGAAATTTCACAATTACCGGATAAACAAAAAGTTGTTTTGATACAACTTCGTTTTTGAGTTTCTGAGACATGTTACATGAATTATATATATGTATCAAAATACTTAAAAACGTAAAAATTTTATACCTGAGGCGTCGGGCACCCTGTAACAACTAAAGCTGGCCCCAGTCTGAGACAACTTTGCAAATCAAAGAAGAACAGATATGGTTTACCACTAAACAAAATAGGAACGAAAAGTATAGATGTATTAATGGTGAATTTACGTGTAACCTCAAATATACATTCTCCAAAATTCAACAATGAGTAACTACAACGAAAAATAAAGCACTTGGTTAGATTTCTTTGGGTTTAAATGGTGAAAGTTGTATTTCGTTTACTTTCGAAAGTGGTGATAGCCATGTTAAATTCACGAAATAATAGGACCACCATACACGGATATCTATATCAAATCATGAGTGCACTGAAAAAAACTCGGATTCCCAAATTGATGTATGCTGAACAGGGTTTAGACCACTGAGCTTCATTCTCGCTATACATACGAAACACTAAGTTCAGAACATTATACCCATTTTTTAACGAAGTCAAGACAAGTATTTGCAAAATTATTACTGATTAGTGCGCTAATGTGCTCAATGAATACGATCGTTACTATACCGAAAAGGCTTATTCTAGAACTGTCATTTCAAATGGAGTTTAAAAAGTGAATGTTTATAGTTCACAATTAATAAGTATATGCGGATTATCTTCACTACCATAATTAATTTCTCAAATGATAGAAGTCAGTTGTCACAAACAAGCTGTCATTCTCGATAATACAAAATATTAGTTGCAAGAATAAAGTACAGTTTATAAATCTATCAGTAGCTGATCATATTTATGAAACATCTGTTAATAAAGTGAATTTAGAGTATAAGATCTGAAAGCGACTGAATACTGTCTTAAAAACTAGTGAAAAATGATTTGGATGTTAGACAATTTCATGTACCAATAAACGCTAAATCATAGGACATTCAGAAATCCAGATTAAATTCGTACAATATGCAAGATTTTGTCGTTGTGTGTTAAGTAAAAAAAATTTGTCAGCAAGAGTTATTAGTGATACGTTCGTGAACTAAGCTAATTATGAGTAATTTCAAATAAAATACGATGAACGAGACCAGTACTGTCCCCTTTTCGCTAACCCACTACATAGAGTGTGAAGTCCCGTTTATACACAAGCTTTCTTAATAGAAACCCAAGAATTAAATTATGTTCAAGTTGATTCAATTATAAATCAATCTAATAATAATTTTTCACAAAATTTTATCAATTGAGCAATTGTTACTGAACACAAGATCACTGTAAATTAACCGATAAAAAGGAAAAATGAATTTAAATCCAAATAACTAATTATAGCTGAAGAATAGAATTCACTCTGAATAAATTAGTACAATGAAAATGAGTTGTTACTTGACTGAACAAAACTCATCTTAACTCGATATCCTTGTCTTAATGATACGTACCACGTCGGAAGGAAGGTTTAACATTACGAACAATAATATAGGTGTAGAAATTTCGAGAATTTTTTTAAAAACCCTATAAACTAATTTAGTTGATTAGTATTTATTTACCCAGGAATTACCTTTGATTCTCACTTATTAAAAGGTTTACCACTTGAAAAATTCAGCAAATCTAGATTGTTTTCTCAAAGCGACTTAACAATGAGTACGCTATGCATTGTGGATTCAGGACTTCAACTAAAAATAAACGAGCTAAACTCTGTCATATGTAGACAAATACAATATTTACACACTTAACATTTGAGATTTCAGTTTATAAAATTCGATAAACATGAAACATAATCAGCTATCACAAATAATCCACACATATACAAGAAATGTATGCAAATGTACCGGACTAAATTCATAAACATATTCCAATATATTTAAGGCTAGGTGAACAAAACACTTAAGGATAGATTAATACGAATGATACACACCAAAAAATCAGGCACTAAAACGATTAAGCACATACTTTTCGCATAAATTACATTTTGCCTTTGAAATGGCATTTTATGTAAAATAACTACGAAGTAAAAAACTGGAACATTTTACACAAAAATGAATTCAGCTTCAAAATGGTTCAGCTACGCTACGATCAATGACGATGTTTAACTTAAAAAGTCAGTTAGTAAAGATATCCTCAAAACGCTTGGTGCTTTTATAGTTACTTTTCATATTATCCAAATAATAATTAAAACATGCCCTCTCGACTTAAAGCTAATTAACCCTTGGAATGTATGAATAATCAATTATATGACTGCAATAAAATGTTTTGAATTAATCGGGGCGGAAAGCAATATTCTAACCACAGTAGACGCAAGAAAAAAGTGACTCTATGTTCAGAAAAATACAAATTGTAGTCAACTTTTCCCTTAAAGATACACTAGGCATTGAAGGAAACCAGTTTCGAAGTAACATTTACATTTGTAGTCAATATCGCAACCAATCATGTATTGTTATTCAGCGCAATAAGATTGAATTAGTTAGTATCATCCTCACACCATCAGAGAGTCATCAGACAAATATTACTACTTCTCTGAAATCATATTTATAACAAAAGTATATAAAAACAATGATCAGTGGGAAGTTGGAGAATAATTACAGACCAACTAAACTGTTCCTCAGTTTTCCAATTATCATTGTAATCACCTAACCGGGAAAGACATTCTTGATGTTTCTCATTGCAGCAATTCAGCTAGTGGCAGATTTTGTTTTAACATCCACAGTGAGCATCCAATGTTGTCTATCATTACTGAATGTTCCACACTTTGTTATCTGCCCGTTCGCAAGATCACTATTTTTCTTATCTCAATAATTTATATTTTCTTATCTAGTATTATATTCGATCCCTATCTTCTCTATCCCCGTCAATACTGTTACTAACTCTAATACTGAGATTTGCCCTGACAATTTCATTCCATTGTGTTAATGAAGTATGGCAACTTGAATTGATATACACAAATCCCGTGTTCTAACATTGCGTATAACTAACTAATGCAATTAATATTTAGTCGTTTCGTTAATCTACACTTACGTTCTTTAGTTCATCATTACGTTAATATAATCTACTAATTGAAAAGCTATAAGAATCCATTGATCTTGTTGAGATTAAACCAAGAACGTTTTGTGTTGTAAGATGAACGGAATCTACTCCAATTTATATGTTTTAAACCTTCCGGAAATGTACTAATTATTTGTGTACATTCATTGAATTCATGTGGATAGAATCAAATCAATTGACAAAGTGATAACTGTGGAAAGTACTTATGATTTTAAGGGTATAGTATGGAACTTCCTCACAAAACAGATTGGTAAAACTACACCTTTTTTACTAGATGATTGCATATCCAACAGACTGAGAGCACGTGAAATCTGATGAATTCATTACACGCTACTATGTCAACTACTTACGCTCTACAAGATTGATAATATGATCCGTCAAGTGATCTCGAGATCACCAATTCACATAACTCTGATTAAATATTGTTTCCCACATTTTATTAATCATCCACTATGTAAATAGTTTAGTGTGCGAACTAATGTAAGTTGAGCCTGATGCTATTTTATATGAAAAAATGTAGTTTTCCAACTTTTTATCACTACAAAATAACTGATTATTGCCATTTTATCACTTATTCAAAAAAACATTCATAACATTGTGATCTGTAACGTATAGGGCACGTTATTTCTACCCCCCCCCCAAAGAAAGTGGCAGTTGCATATTCGTAAACAAAAACGTTTAAAGTTTGAGAACTTACGGAACATCACGACCGCAAACTTGTCCTTGCGAATTAGTTGGATGTATGACACGTTTAAAGTCTCCCATGGCAAAACCTGGTGTGAAAGGTCAACAAACATCTTTACTGGGTAATTAAACATAAGATAAGCTATAACACTTTTTTAGATGTTTGTGAAACACACTGTTATGTGGATCAACTACGAATGTTGGACTGTTCCTAATAAAAGGAACCTAGTGAAACATTTGTAGCCAGTTTCAACAACAACCAAAATCCTCATGTATACGGATATATAGTCAGTAGACTAGAAAATAGCCATTCATTAAAACGTGAACTGTTTCACAGAAATTGAGGGACATGCATATAAAAACCATATAAAATTGTGCTTATAGATTGAAATCAAAATAGCTCCAGGGTTTCCCCTGAGCTCCACAGGAATTATCAAGAATATATATATATATATATATATATATATATATATATATATATATGACCCAGTCGCTGATAAAAAATATCCCTTCTATCAATAAAACGAAATTACCATCAGACAGATTTTAATATCCAAATTAAATTTCACTACAAAAACCTGTACATTTAAACGTCCTAATTAGTCGCAACAAATATAAAATAATATTGGCAAAAAGCCAGTGGAAACTTACTCCACAAAGTAACGATAAGGAAACCAACGATGAATATTGAGAACAATATACAACAAGGAATATCTGTACATGTTCTGTCAAAAAAGAAAGCACGGAAACACTAAGTAAGGACCAAAGGTTTGACTGTGAATGAAGTAATCTTGAGTGCTGTTAGTGTATGAAGGCGGTTGTTACTTTACTGTACGCCACACAGTAGATCCCTCCTTGGAATACGCGAAAAGAAGTCTGGATTAGTGATGGTCTCAATGACCTGGACTACGAAAGCAGTGCCTAAGAGACAATTGTTTGAGACCACATTCAGTAGATGAAAAAATAATTTAGGGACCAACCAATCAGGTATAAGGAAAAAGGCCTTGGATTTCGGCGCGAGGTTCACTCATCCATTTGGTTAAATAGCGTTTTGGCATTATAGCTGATGTCAGTTGGCGATGAAAACCTTAAATCTAATTTCTAACCTTAACCATCAACTGTAAATTATAATTATAATTCCTCACACTGGTTTATAACCCACATTTGGTCCTAGTTAGTAGTAGACACACACAATGGTCAATTTAGCGTCTCATAGGTCGTCCATGAATTATAATCTCACCAGTAAAATCAGTGCATATAGTAGTCACTTGTCGTATAGCTTAAGACTTTTTACTTATCATATCTACAAAGTTCCTATCACTTTTTGATGGTTTGGTCGACCAAACCATCCAGCTCAGAGAAAATAAACTCCATTAAAGTCATTCACCTGAGCTAAAAATCTTTCCCACCATCCACTCACTTTAGGGTTAAACGACCATTTGGTTCAACCAAGGTCTGATATTAATTAGAGCCTCGTTAATTGTTGTTACCGGCTGTTATATAAGCTAAGAAATGTCGGTATTGGAGGCAATCTATTGATGTGGATAAAAGACTTCCTAGTTGGGCACCAACAAAGAGTATGGGTGAACTCAGTTATCTAGCTGGAAAACTGTGCTTATTGGAGTGCCCCAAGGTACAGTTTTGGGGGCAGTGCTATTCCTCTTGTATGTAAATGACCTTCCTCGTCTCCTATCACCATCGGTCTTGCTACATGCTGACGATTTCAAGATGTGGAGAACGATACGATGTAAGGGTGATAGCTTAGAACTCCAAAATGACCTGAAGAAATTATCTGAATGGTCTCAAACCTGGCAGTTGCCGATAAATACTTTCAAGTGTGTTGTGATGCATATCGGTCATCAAGGTACAGATACATACACGGTGAATAACACTGTGCTATTTGTTGTCCAGACACATAATCACTTGAGAGTCATCGTTAGCCAAGACTTAAAGACTACTGAACACTGCCGTGCAATAGCCGCCAAAGGTTTTAGAACCTTATGGTCAATATGTAGGGCTTTTTGTCATGTCGACGCTAAAACGTTTTTGACTTTGCATACAGTGTTCGTACGTCCTAAACTTGATTACTGCACTCAAGCGGCTAGCCCCTGCTTAAGAATAGACAGTGAGCTTCTGGAAAAGGTTCAGCGAACAGCAACTAAGCTGATTCCCGGAATAGCTAAGCTTCCGTATGATGCTTGACTGGCCAAGTTAAACCTATTCCCGTTGTCATATCGTAGAACTAGAGGCTACTTGATTAGTTTTCAAATTGCTTAGTGATAAATTTGCACCTGGTATGCCCTCATTTTTTGTGTCTTCCAGAACAGAGAATTTACGGGGAGACTCCAAAAGCGTTCACAGGCCCAGAACAAATTACTTGTCAGCTGACTATCGACTTTCCCATCGAATCATCAACGAGTGGAATTCATTACCTCAGCACGTGGTTGAGGCTCCATCCGTCGACTCTTTTAAAACAAAGTTGGATCAACTGAGAGACCACCATTGCCAGGACTAACACAGGCCATCAAGCCTCCTGTCCTTTCCAAACTGAAACTGTTAATTGTTGTATGGTAATAACTTAAAAAATGTATCAGATTGAAACGAATGCATTGTCAATCTGCAGTCAGTAATAAGGACTTTGACGACAAACTCAGTCAAGCCAGATGATCCTAACTGGGCTAAGATGAAGAATTGTTGTAATACGCTCTTAGGATTCAAGAATCAAAGGTCACATGGTGAGCAAACGAGAATTTGCAAGTCGAGTCACTAAGCGTAACTGAGTTATGGTAGAGAAATAAGTGAGCTCCAAAATACGTAAATTTCACACAGGAATGTTTTTCGGAAGAAGCACAATAAATGATTGCAGTAGGTATATGTATAAAAGAACTTTAAGTCTAAAAACACCTACCTATTTCGTACAGGGCCAATGGTACGTATTGTTTTCGAACCTGAAAATTAGGGAATTATTCACATTATCATAAGAACTTCTGGACTTCACCCAATTAACAACTTACTGATGAAAAGTGAATTGGGGAGTATGGGACATTTTTAAGCATGCACAGCAAACGTAAAACACACGACCGTCAAATTATAGGCGAAAATATGAATACTACACTTAATTATGATTTCATGTCAATTTCCGTTACATAAAAAATCCCATAGGACTGACTGTCAAAAAGTGTAATCATCTGTGAACGAAGTTAGAGATGTTATAAACGTTATTTAGAGTTTCGGAATTTTTCTTCAGCAAAAATAAGTGAACAACAAAACGAAACTTGAACAATTTGTTCACGAGTTTTGGATTCCACATATTATAGTCACAAAAAGCAGTATATTTCCTACGTAATTATTGATGCTATCCATGTCCTGATCGTCTTCAAGTAGTTTTGTCGGAATTAGTATCACCTTGAAACAAATTTACACCTAACAATTATAACGGGTCTACACGACTACTGCACTTTATTTTACTTCCAAACGACCAAGGGATGAGTACAATAAACCACAAATAAACTACCTGTATCCTGCGAATGACCACAGCAGCCCATATTTTGCGCCAAATGTTTTGAATCGAAAGATGTGACAGAAGACAGACTATCATTTACCAATAGATTAAAATATTAGTTTCAGTCCTCACTAATAAGGAGCGTAGATTGGTGGACCTTTTTTAATCGTGCCAGTTTGCCTTCCAGTGAAGGTTTAGCTTCTCCTTGGAAATATTCACTGATGGGGATGACACAACTTCTTCGGGTAAAGCGTTTCAGTCATTGACCACTCGATGAAAAAAAAAACGGGGCCGCACTTCAAGTTCATTAAATCGTGGTTTGTGAACCCTCTTGCTATGACAGCGGAGATTAATAAAGCTGGAGGGGGCAAAAAGATAAGGCATATTAATAGCCAAATCATAATTAAAGATACGAAGTACCAATATAAGGTCACGTATCAACATACGATACAAGAGGAAAACGTTCGGTCGTTTTAAGCACTCATCGTAAGGGTGTTCAGAAATACCCTTCACTAATTTAGTTCACACACGCTGAACATGCTCAGGTGAGTTAGTATCCTTATTAAGACATGGGCAGCAGTAAATAAATCCTCGAAATCAATAGCTCTGTAAGTCCTCGACATTGGATACTGGTCACATTAGTTTTAATGGACTCACCTAGCTGAGGGCGCTCGGTCATGCATCCGCACCAGATCACGAGTGGAAACGCCGTGCTCAACATCCCCTGCAATTGATAACCAGATTAGATCAGTCGATCCACGATATATTGATAGCCTATCAAATATATCTTCGAACCTCCTCACATCTGACTTTTGATTTCACTAGGTGTGTACGATTCGTATTAAGTGGTGCCACTGGCCAAAGTGTTGTCAAACTCCAAATACCTGTGGCATCTTTAATACCTATTTTTTACGCGTTCTCTTAAACAGACACTGTGATTGTGAGATCCACGCTCAGTTCGAGTCAATTATGTTTGTCCAAAAGCTAGATGAACTTCAGATTTGTAAACATGAATAAGTATACCCTACGTCCAGGGGTATGATGATGAGAAACTTTTGATAAACTGCTTGAGAAAGTATGATTGGTTTCACAGGCTTGTGAGCACCTAAAAACAGCTTGTCTGTTTCCTATAATGAAATTAGCGATGTAGATTCTATTGATCTTCAAAAATCCATTATTGACCACCAAAAACTTCGACTTACAACCACAGAAGGCTAATTTCTGGAGATTTAAAAGTCGATTATTAATTAGTTCACTTTGCTCGCAATAGAAGTTCATCACAAATACATCCCCTATTATTACAGACAGTGTATGCATTTGTACAAAGTTTCCGTGCATACACATCTGTGGTGACCGCAGAATAAGGCAGAACAATCACTTCAAATCATCCATGATCATAAGCGCTCTCTAATTTAAGTGACAGAACACTGAAAGCTAGATGAATGGTGAAAACTAGCGAAGGCCGAAATGCCATCACGGGAACATTATCAAAACTTAAAGCGTGGCACTGTAACTCCTTTAACTTTAAATTAAATATATTCATTTGTGAATTATGAAGCTTCTAAATGTCGTTGCCGCCAGTTTTCAACTCAGACCCTCTTTACTAATACAAGTCAAAAGGGGAAATTATAAGACCTCCATAAATGAAAGACAAATCCGTGGCAATCTGAATTTTAAGGGCACCTTCAATGTGAACTTATTCTAAAAGAAGTACACGTTCCTCTTGGATACATATAAACTAGATTGCTATATTTCAAGTGTTGATTAAATTTGTTCGCACTAGAATCCAATGCATTTTTGGGGAACATCGATCTTGACTATATATTTTTTCGTATCGACCACCCTGTTTGGTATACGTACATTGTCATTGCTAAGGATTTAGAAAATCGAATATAAATACGAACGTTGTAATTCACCGACGTCATTTAAACCTCTGCTTTCTAAACGCATTGCCCAAATATCGATCTTCATGTGTCAGCTCTTAGAAATTACGGTTGATTTTAACCAGTCCAATAATAGTAATGTGTTCGATATGAATGGTGATATGCCTAGAGCAAGTGAATCTATCAGAGTGTAAGATTAAGTGCTTTTTTCGTACTTAACAAAGTATCTTCGATGACCCTCAAAGGATGTGCAAATATGGGTCTGTGGACTCCACTGAGCCTTGCAGATAACACTGTGAATCAGAAGACAAAATCTACTATTCAAGTTTGTTGGACCTTTTCATTGTTGACCAAAGTCATGAAGTTACTGTGCATAACTATCCTAAAGCTCGCAATGCAACCTATTTAATTAATCGCTAAGCTTCATTTCATCTGCAACACTGATCATTAATGATAGTTGATGACCAGATCATGGACTATTGTCATGAAAAAGGATTTTTTGGTTGAGATGTACTAAACGTTGAGCGGAATATTCACTCCACATTTTCTTGTTCCACTCTACAGGTGTGAAGGACGAACCAGTGTTGAAATACTCATCAAATCCAACGTGTACCCGTCAGCTTACAGTAACTGTATAAACCGAATAACTGCTAACGGTTTCAATATTCATTCTCGCTTACACTCTCTGTCGAAGTGAGAATCTATGACTTCTTAAACCAGTACTGCAACTTCGCCTAGGTATAGAAGGATATAGCCCAAAACAGATGAATGAACTCTAGGAGATATATTATTATCACCTACTTAAATTCATGTAAGAGACGAACGGAGCTCAGAGTAGTACGTTTGCAGTAACAACTAATTAGCTAAGGAAGTGCAAAGCATTCCTAGAATCCTGGTTATCTTGATGTGGTGTTCGTATCAACAAATGGTTCTCTTGTACTTGATGCGTGCCTGATTTCGAATTCCAAATACAATACGTTCGTTTGTGATCACGTAGTTATATTCGGATCCTTAGTTCGTATATTAATTCAAATACTCCCAACTATCACACTGGAGTTGTGACGGAGCCTGTGATTGAACAATCGCACATGCATTCAAATTTTAATGCTCATTTCCTTATAGCTTACTAAAATCTTTGACATTCCCAGGAAGCTTATTTCACTTCCTTATACAGCTCTCAAGGAACTCTTGTATGACCATGTAAAGTGCTATACAAAAGAAAATGTCTTAAAATAACTCGTCAGGACATTGAAAATTCCGCTACATTACTACGTCAGCCTAACCGAATGCGTGAACAAGGTTATGCAAATAACAATTCGTTGAGGCGTTGCGGAGCAGGTCACGAAGATGAGCACAAGTTTTGTAAATGTTCGTCCTGTAGCTCAATCTTGATTAACATTCGAATGATTCCATGCCAAATGTTGTTTATCCTTATCATGAATTCACTTCTAATGAGTCCTCTAATCAAAGTAAAAAAGAGTCCTCAAATGAAGCAACATCAGTTATAACTTGAGGATATGAAAATCCAACATTATTTCATGAGGGAGTATAATGTTGGAATGTCAGTGATTTCAGTACACAGGACCCAGGTAAGTCCATCCCCATTTCAGTCGCTAATTTCAATAATAAAGAATGTGTTCTAGATCATTCAGAGGCTGTATCCAGTGCATAGTCAGACAGACATACAATGAACCTAAAGGGAAGGAATACAATCGATCACAAAAACTTATATTTCAATTTAAGCTGTAGCGATTTTTGTATGGACTAATGATTCTTTTGTACTTAACGTCTACCTCAAAATGATTTCGGAAATAAACATCAAATTGACCTTGATCTGCTACTGAAGCAGAACTAATTGAAGAACTGTTGGTTATAAATACAATATATTTTTACAACCTGGGTATTACTTTCATCCTTCAGACCAGTTAATCCATCTTTATTGACACAGTTTGAGTTAAATTACTACTCACTCAAAGGGGAAACTTCAAATACTCGCTCCAATTTTTATCAGACAACTTAATTAGCTCTTTCGTTACTTCGAAGAGAAGCCTATACAGAGAATTAGGATTGTTTGCAGCAATCAAGTCTCCGAATAAAACATTTTGTTAATGACTTTCAGCTATCTTAAGTACGAATTCTGTTAAAATTCATGTCAAAGGTTCTTTATCACCACTCTGGTTTATCACGATCTGGCTGGCACGCACATCTGAACCAACGCACAACTTGAATGAAAACATGAACTCAATTTCCCCAAACGAATGAGAAAGAGACACCTCTTGGTTCACGATCAGAGCAACTGGTTGGCGTGCCACTAAACATTTAAGGGTGTACTCAGTTAGTATCTTAAATCTGAACTACTCATAGTAAAAACGGTTACTAAAGAAATTCTAACCATTTATCTTGCTATAAACGACTGCTGTGTAAACCACAGCGTTATGTATGGATGCTCTCGAATTCAGTTTTCTAATTGTCCGGATGCGCTCACCGTCAACGTAATCTATCAATGAAAAAAATATCACTATTATCAGAAGAACTCACACTTGTCTTTTCCCTACTATTCACAGGTAATCTCCTTACTGAAAACTTCAACATAGTTGAAATGTTTTGGGTTCCTATCAAGGTTCCACAATGTTTAGGTTCATTTATTAGGTCCTGAGAGCTCGAACAGGGAACGCGATGTGTCAGCCTCCCAACCAAACATTAAAACTTGGTCTTCGTCAGTAACCTTTACCTTGATACTATGTATATTGGATAAAGGTCTTAACTTAGCCATCACAATATTTTCATCAGGTTATAAAAACCACCGCCTATAAACGTAAAATCATGAAAAATCATACAGACTACCACAAGGTCAATATAAATTTTTTCCCAAGTCACATTAAAAACAATAAGTGGTAGACCCTTCGGTATGAAGTACCAATTGACCAGCCAACATATTCTGTGACAACACCAATACTATCTTTGACAAAATCGCACGCTTTGGACAGTGAAAATCTAGAATTTCACACCGCTGATACACAAAAACATCGCAGAACGCCAACCACCCAACAGTCCCCTTTTGATAATAATAACAGAAATATTTGACAAGGCAGAGGCAATATGTAAACAGAAGATAGTCACATAAGAAAAATGTGCTGTCAAACTTAACGATGACTCCTCC